CACCGAGTTTCAAACCCCTAACTTACAAGTGTACAATTACACCTTACTCAAACTAGTCTACCATATTTCTTATGCAAATGGAAGCGGTAAAGATTAGATAGGGGGAAAGAGTGTGGGCCGGGGTGGCGACGACAGGTTAGACAGAATTAATAAAGACATAACAACGAGTGGCAACTATTCGTTGTATGAGTGGACATGATTGATTGAGACATGACAACCACTCGTTTTACATGGATATAAACAATATAAATAGCGCCACTTGGCCTCTTCTCACATCGAGTACTGCAATGACTTCTTGCCTACGCTTCAGCAGGAGTCGTTATGCTGTGAACTCGTGCCCAGCGTGCATCATGGGCACACTAACGGTGCCGTCAGTGGCACCGTTGTCTTCTTCGTCTTTTTTTTTTTCTTTTTTAATTTCAGACTGCTTCGTTATAGGAGCATATATTCATAGTTTCGTGTTCATAATTTTATTACTATATATTCATAATTCCATAACTGTACATTCATAATTCCGTAACTGTACATTCATAATTCAATAACTGTAAATTCATAATTTTCGAAGCTCTATGTTCATAATTGTAAGTTCATATGTCAGAGTTCTGTGTTCATAATTTCATAATTTCATAACTGTACATTCATAATTTCATAACTGTACATTCATAATTTCATAATTGTACATTCATAATTCCATAACTGTACATTCATAATTCCATACTGTATATTCATAATTCCATACCGAACATTCATAATTTTCGAAGCTCTATGTTCATAATTGTAAGTTCATAATTCCATAACTGTACATTTATAATTCTATAACTGTACATTCATAATGTCATAACTGTATATTCATAATTTCATAACGAATATGCCGTTAACGCCGTTAACGGCCTTTCGAACAAATTTTTTTTTTTGGTTAAAACAGCGTCATTTTTCCTTAAAACGATGTCGTTTTAGAGACGTGCGCACCTTGCAAGGTGCGCATGTGCGCATAGCATAATTTGCCCTTCAGCAGCCTTCAAAAGGTTGCTTGGGCTATTTCTAACAGTGATGCTATCAAATAGAATCTTAGGAACCCATTTGTCGTACTAATCTCAAGACCAACAACAAACACCTAGTAACCTAGTTAATTTCAATATTTTTTAACATCACAATGAAAATTAAACTTAAAACTTCTTCTTAAGTCATTATAAATTTAGATCATTAAATTACGATATTAAATCTCATTACACCATCAAGAGTGCATCTATTTTATTAATCTAAAAATTATATAAAAGTAACAACTGAAGGTAATTAAGGACTTAAGGTTCTAGCAAGAATATAAAATAGATGTGTTGGTGTAAATTTAGAAGTTGTAATTCATGTTAACAACTCTTAATGAGTTGACACATGCAAGATACATTAACACTAAATGTGGACACAATCTAAATTTAAACTTAACAAGTCAAGATTAATTTCTAACATGAATATCATATTTTGTTGAGTACATAAATATCATATTTAAATTAAACTAGTTAACCCGTTTAGTTAACAATGTGAGATAAACACGACAAGATAATCTATTTAAATTTGCTAATTTGTTAACATAATTAAAATTTATATTTTATAAATTAAAGTTGACTAAGGGTTAGATCACATCATTCTTTCCATAAAGGTTGAATCCCAACCCTATTGGCGCCCACACCCCGACCCGGTAAAGCTACTAGGAGGATGTAAATCATGGTAATTAACTGAATATGAAGCGCATAGGCTAGACCTTTGCTCATTGTGCACAAGGAGCCCCTCGCTTTGAGAGGTTGTGGGGCCCCCGATCCCTGGTCATTCTTTCCAACTTTATGATCAGTTGAGCTGCCCATGCGGGTAGTTTGGATCACTTCATGGTATAAGGATTGGGTGTAAAGACATTCACTGTATGTGAATTTTTTAATTTTTTTTTGGTCATTCATTTCTTTGATACAAATGTATGTATCTAAACTTGATTTTTATTGATGCCAAGCTTGGAAACAGAGAAATACATTCACTGTAGAAGAAGAGAATCTGAAAGATGAACATTATGACTGGAAAAGAAGAAGAAGAAAAAAAGATCCCCAAATGGCAACAAACATGCATGTTTAGCCTCAACAAACAATTGGATCATGGATCATTCACTGGCCAGCAGCAAAAGCGTCAACTGGGAATGTTTTAGTGATGCCCGCGAGACTCTTGAAGTGAATTTTGCCAGTGGGTGGATCATTCACACTGATCTCACTCACAGGAGGCCATAGCATCAGCTCCTTCGCCTTCACTCCCTTCAGCTTCTTGATCTTCTTCTTCTCCACATACCCATATATTTCTGTGTCGTAGCTAACCAGCTTGCTGATCATCTTGAAGTTGTGCTCCACCTTCTTCTTCTGCACAATCCACATGTACCCACTGCTCTTCACGAACCCCACCTCGATCACGTCTGCAAGAGGAAGGAGCCCCGTGGGGAGCCCGAACTCTTCAAGAACTGAAACTGCCATTTTCATCCCTTCCTCATGCCCCTTCTTCACTTCTCCTCCTGCCTTCGGATCTGCCATGCCTGCTAATATGCTATCACTACAGTGTATCTCAGTATTGCTCTGCTTGATTTTTGGTTGATGAAAATCTCGATAATTTATATTGTTTTAGTCCAGAAAAGAGACAAAATTCTTAGTGGAAATATCGAAGTAGTAAGCTTTGTATTAGCCATCAAAACTATGATTGTACTTGAGCATTGTCATCTTAGCTTTCAACATTTTCTTTATCTGATACATGCCGCACAGCTCCAAACAATAAGATTACAACTTTGTTTAATTTTTATGAAAAGTGACTCGCTGAATCCTTTAAATCCAAATTTATTTTTCTTCTTCTTTATTTTATATTTTATGCATGGTGTACAATTAGAATATAAACTTGATGAATAGATTAATACAATTACAATTTTTCATATATGCGTATCTAATTACTCACGCTTCCAAATGGAATCAGATTTGCCACTGCCGGCCTCGTGATCTCAAATTATATATATATATATATATATATATATATATATATATATATATATATATATATATATATATATATATATATATATATATAGAGGGATTCCCGTGCGGTTGTGCGGTGGACCGTGGACGCACATTAAGCATTAAAGCACACAAAAAAACACCAACACAAACCCGTGCACCTTAAGCACACACCTCATGCACCTTAAGCACAAAACATACGCACATTAAGTCGCACCTTAAGCACAAAACTCACGCACCTTAAGCACAAAACACACGCACCTTAAGTTTCAACAACTACTCACATTAAACAGTAAGCACAAACACACGCACCTTAAGCACAAAACTCACCACCTTAAGCACAAACTCACGCACCTTAAGCACAAAACTCACCACCTTAAGCACAAACCCACGCACCTTAAGCACAAAACTCACCACCTTAAGCACAAACTCACGTACCTTAAAACCGCACGGGAAATATTTGAGAAGATGGATCTGTTTAATACGAATAAGCTTTTCTTCCATTCCTCAGAATGACTCATTGCTCGAGTTTACGCCCTTCGCTCAAGGATAGGACGCGCACAGGAACTTAATTTTATGTGTGTGTGTGTGAAAAATGTGGAGTTTTTTGCACTTTTGGTCCCACGACTATAGTGACACTAGCAGAATTGATCCACGACTTTTGAACCTTGCAATTTTAGTCCACGACTATTGATTTTTTTGCAAAAATGGTCCTTCCGGCCACTTTTCCGTCAAAATTCCACCGGAAATTTTTTTTTAATCCATTTTTAACAGGGCCAAAATTGATATTTTACTTATCTCAAAATATAAAGGAAATACATAAAACGGAAAGGTAAAAGCGATTGCATTTGAGAATCTCCGCCGCTTCTCTCGCCGGAAATCTATACAACGAAGCTTTTCCAATGTCTTCGGATGATCCCGCAGGCGTGCTGGCTCCGCCTCCAATGCTGCTGCCGGATTACCCAACTAGCCCGGGGAACGCCACGGCCGCTCCGCCGCTTACTGACAGCCCTACCTGCTCCAGGAACTCCGCCGCCTGGGGCAGTAGTATGTAGCCCAGTAATATTGTATGTAGTCAAATGTCAATTTTTTTCTTTTATTTTTTGAGATAAGTAAAATGTCAATTTTAGCCCTGTTAAAAATGGATAAAAAAAAAAAAATTCCGGTGGAATTTTGACGAAAAAGGGACCGGAAGGACCATTTTTGCAAAAAAATCAATAGTCGTGGACAAAAATTGCAAGGTTTAAAAGTCGTGGATTAATTCTGCTAGTGCCACTATAGTCGTGGGACCAAAAGTGCAAAAAACTGAGTTTTTTGCACTTTTGGTCCCACGACTATAGTGGCACTATTAGAATTGATCCACGACTTTCAAACCTTGCAATTTTAGTTCACGACTATTATTTTTTTGGCAAAAATGGTCCTTTCGGCCACTTTTCCGTCAAAATTTCACCGGAAAAAAATTTCTTCATTTTTGAAGAGGGCTAAATTTGACATTTCACTTGCAATAACAACATCAATACTCCAGGTTTGCAATACACTATATATAAAAGCATATTCTGCACTTTTCGTACTAGGCAAATTTAGCTATTTTAGCCCTCCTAAAAAGGAAGAAATTTTCCTCTAGTGAAATTTTGACAGAAAAGTAGCAGTAAGGACCATTTTTACCAAAAAAACAATAGTCGTGGTCTAAAATTGCAAGGTTTGAAAGTCGTGGATCAATTCTGATAGTGTCACTATAGTCGTGGGACCAAAAGTGCAAAAAACTCTTTTCATGTATCTCAATAAACTTTAAAATTAAAATAAATAAGACAACAGTATCATACATAAGTACATGATTTAAAAATAATTTAACTAAAAGTTTGAATTTGAGAAATAAAATTACTTCATAAGCTAACCTTAGGTGATAAAAATAAAATATATAATTACAAAAACAATTAAATATGCTACATATAATAAAACTAACATAAAAAAAAAAAAAAATATTACATTTTAAGTAAAAAGTATTACAGGTCTCACACAAGCGTAATAATATTGTAATGTAAGTACAGGCCGGGGATTACAAGTTGGCAGAAATGAATGTGTTGGATCGTGCTTGTAGCTTCTCTTGTTGCTTTATGGTGTCTGCAACATGAGAAATGACTCCAGTTCCAGCATTATGAAGCCATTCATTCTTCACCTGTTTCAATTCCACAAAACTAGTACTACTATCAACAACATACATTATACATACAAGAGAGACCAAGAAAACAATGTACATACATGTATATTATTATGAGCAAAGAAAGGCCAGAATGCTGAGTGGAAGCTAACATCGACTTTCCTCCACCCTAATTGTTGCAAGCCGCGTGTCATTTCCTCTGTTTCAAACCCACGATTATATTAATGTCTTCTTCTGGTTCTGTGTTATAGAATCAGAATAAGCATTGCCAATTGCCATGTATTAGTATTATTACTACTACATACCTTCCATGATTTCATGGTATTCTAGTGTATTCTGCAGGCTGGGTTCATTTTGGGCAGCCTCCTTTGCTTTGGCTGCTTCGGGAGGGAAATGAGGACCATCCGATGAAACTGGAGGACAATATTCGACATCTACAACATGCTTGTAGCCAACCAAAGATCGTTTAGGGGGCTGAAAAAGTTACGAAACTTCAGTTTGGTATGGTATGAAATTAAGCACAAAACACAACTTCCAGCATGAAAACTAAAATCCATCCTTTATACACCAAAATCAAAATCCATAGTCATTTTAACTAAAAGTATGTCACAAATAAGTAGATACCATAAATTACCTTGCGAAGCTCTGTCTCCCTTCTTAGAGAGGATGTACGCCAACCAACTATATCTAGGCTATGTCAAGGATGTAAACCAACCAACAAGTGTAAAGATTGAATTTTTGAAGGAGAAGAGGAGAGTAGGATACGATCATAAGACACATTTGCATAAATGGCACGGCATGTGAAAGCACCAAGTGCAGATCTTGCACAGGAAAGAGAAGATAAAGTTAGTAAAAAGCTCTAATAGAGATAAATAGAAGCAAAACATAAATGCATTTTGAAAGTATCTTACATAAATTTCCCATCTTCACAATCCGATGCCATTCTCAATAGAAGAGGTGGCATATTTGGTTTTCCATCTGTAAGGAAGAGCTGCCTACCAGTTTGCCTAATAAAAAATGGGGCCATTGGTGCAGCAAGTTTTTCTAAGATGGGTACTCCAAAGAGAAATGGAAGCTGAACCATAAAACAAAAACCAATTGTCTGCACATCAGCAATCCATTCCTTGTAATCTATCCTACAGCTGCAATAATCTTAAAAGTTTATATATTGCGGTTTTATAAGAAACAGACTAGAATAACTTTCAATGTTTTCCACTAAAAGGATCATTGTGCACATATCACACAACATGCTCTTTAATAAAACCTGGCATGAAAACCATGAGATTATTCTTTTTGAAATCACTGATCTTTAAGTACATCACCTCTTCTTATTTAGAATGGTTCTAGGAAAACAAAGAAAAAAGAACCTAGGGAACAGAAGCATTCATCAGCAATCAAATGAAGAATAGTCCAATGTCATTTAATATACCATCCAATTATGTGAAAACTACCAATAATTCAGAAAATCATGGAACACTGCCCTATCATGGTTGCAAAAACAAAACATCCTCAGAGACAACAAACCTGTTTGTTACCTCTGACTCCAAGATGGGGGGTAGCCAAGGTGATAAAATTAATTGGTTTTAGCCCAGCAATCAATCCTTTATTTGAAGAGCATACTGGCTTCCCATTTGCAGCACTTGAAGCAACCATATCTTGGGACTGATTGCTAGATATGTTCGGAGTATAAAGAGCAGCAACTGCATATCTTGCAATCAACCCGCCAAGTGAATGGGCCACAAAAGAAATCTTTTTTAGGCTCTCTGACTTTTCCACAACTAGCATGACCTGCTTATGTTATACTTGATTAAAAGATGGAAGATAGAAGATTTAGATGCCATAACCATTGATATAAATTTTTACATATTAACACAACTAGCTGCACCAACAAAGCCCAATTTCCAAGGTTCATAAATAGACCAATTCATTTACACACTCACTTCATCTGCCAGCCGCTTTCCAGCTCCATCAATCCCAGTAAATGTTTTGGTATATGTGTTGCAAGAACTTGCTGCAAAGAGAAGAACACAATGTTCTATATTAATCTAGAGAACTTGCAATTTTCTTAATCAAAAGAATTACATAGTAATTTATCATTCATCACAGGAGATTCCAATACATAATACATAAGGAAACAGAAGAAACTGAGCAACTCAAATCTGACAAATTCTGTCAACAATAGCAATTTAACAAGGTTATGACCATAAATTGTCATCCAACTAGATTTTGACACAGCAGTTGATTGCATTTCCTTTTTCACTTGTGATAAAAGACAAAGTGGACAATTCTGTGACCAAAATGCACTTTCTTCCAAACCACTACACTCGTAATAGTACTGATTTATGAAAAATAAAGTAGTCCTTGGTTCTGATCTCTTCTCCTTACACTCATGTTAGATACAGTATAATTCAGGATCATGAGGTGGCTGTAGCTTCTATCTATTGCATCATTCAGCCCATCATATCATAATTAATAATAATACATCAGATACTTAAAGGGTATGAATGTATGATGACACTTTTTCTTTCTTGTTTAATAGTCGTATAATTGGAAACAGATAATAACAAACAAAGGTGAACAGAAATATGAAATTATGAGATTCAACACATTCCAATTAAAAGAATACCATAAATCAAAAAATTTCTTCCCAGCCGTCTCTTCAATTCTGCTTGTGCATAAGTCCAATCACTTGTGCTGCATCACTTCAAGAACTCAGTGAAAACAGAAACAGAAAATATACCAAATTTCTAATTGACATGTTAATAGACCATGAACGAAATAATCAATCAGACTGAAAGCTATGTTGAAACTATTGAGATCAACTAAGAAGGCAAGAAGAAGGGAGAAAAAACAAGCTCTCATAAAACATACACCTTCCAATTTTAGTTATCCTTCCATATTATGACACTCTCTCATCAAATGACAAGCTCAAAGTTTACACATCATGCTAAAATTATAATTAAGGGGAAAAAAATTACATATAACTTGAAGTTAAAAATGAAACTCAAAATATAATACTCTCTCTCTCTCTCTCACGAACAAAAGTCAATATTTTACTAATAATGTATAGAAAGTCAAATGAGGACATCAAATATGGAATTAGCCCATAAAAGGGAAAAGGAGAAAAGCTGATTATACTGAACTTTTTCACCATAATGTTATATACTTTAGGAACTTGTCTGAGAACATACCAAACAAATGAGAAAACCATAAACTACTTGGTATGTATTTCTACAATCAAACCAAAGTTTACCAATCAATTTGACAATTTCCATGGCACAAGGCCAGACATGCATCTGTCAAATTCAATTTTGTGTCTCAAGTAACTTGTTTGTTTTTTTTCAGTAAACCTAGATTCCCTTTGTCACATACACCTCAGCCATGGTATTTATTGAATTGTAGCACAGAGAAAAGAAAATTAGCAATCTTTTGATCAAGACCTGCTTACCTTGCCAAGATTCCATGAACAAGGACAACAAGATGATCTGGTTCATCCTCCAAATGAATAATATGGTTTGGTAATACAACATCTCCATGAGTTGTACTCGTAGCAAAAGCTTTTAGCCTTCGATTCTTCCAAATATTGTCCATGCCTGCAGAAATTTAGTGAAACCCAGAGTCTAGAGTAATCGCTAAGTATTGGAAGTAATAAATAATTGATAATTCCAATCATGCCAGGAGAGGCAAAGCATGAAAAATATAAAATCTGGCATAGCACAAGTAGCAAGATAGTTCAATAGGAACAAGGCAAGATTTTTGTCAGAGAGCATATCATTGTAGACCAGAGTGATCAAGTGCTGCAAGTGACTACCACTACTCTACAAGAAAGGGAGCGACAACCAAGTTATTGCTCCAAACTGTGGAAAGTAGAAAACGATCTCAACACCTCATGAAGAGTATGATCATAAGGCTTGTGAAATATATTCATAACAATGCATCCTCAGCTTGCCCCATCCAACATAAAGCAAATACAAAAGAACCCTTAAATTTTGTAATTGAATAGAAATTTATCTTTGCTTATTGCAATAACATTTTCTCCATATTATATACGAGAAATCAAATTAACTTAAGTTTAGGCAGTCGCGAATTTGGCGGGAATAAACATTCTTAACTCTGAAGGGTTTGTTCATTTAGCAATTTGGAACCCTATCTAGATTCCAGAAAACTATATGGTTCTACCTACAAAACCATAGTAGAAAGAGCACACATCCAAACATGAAATGGACCATCAATGCCGACCTTAAAAATCTCAACAAGAGCAATAATTAACACATGAAACAATAAGAACAATACTTTCAAGCGTCAATCATATACATGCCAGCGAGAAATTCCAAATATTTGATACAGAGAGAATTGATGAAAGAGGGAGAAATAAAGGAAAATTTTACCAAAAACGCTTTGCGAATTTCCAGCTGAGCCCTAGGCGGCAAAAATCCGATGAATACCAAGACGAGGTACAGTAAGGTTAACAAGAACAAGAGGTGGCGGATACGGCAAGAAGGGTAATTCGAGGCGAACAAGGAAGCAAAAAATGCGTATGGCGCCATCATTGTCGTCGATAGATATATATGGGAGTGCGTCTCTAGAAGATTTGTTTAGCTTCAGTCCTATTTGCTCGCATGAGCCTCTGATGGGCGTGACGTCAGCATCGCTCCCCATTCTCCTGCTTCATATCCTCTGCAATTTCTGCCCCATAACCTTTCTGCCGCGCCCATTTTCAATCAATTAAGCATTTATACGACTTCAGTCCAAATTTTTCATTGATATTATATTGCAGATTACATTTGTCAAATTAATTAATTAAAGAGCAAATTACAGTTTTGGTTCTATGATTATAGGAGCCTGTTAATTTTGGTACGTCATTTTTTAAATTGACAATTTAATCCTTTAATTATGATTTTTTTAGTACATTTTGTCCTCCCGACCAAATCACATTTGTCAAATGAATTAATTAAATTCTGTCTTAAATTTCAATACCAATAAGTCCATAAATTTATGGATACGAAAATAAAGAAATTTCATTCAGTTGAGGTGAATATGCATATAGATTTGAATGATTTCGAGTTATGTGACAAATTGGCACACTTGTAACGTTTGATTTATGATTGGAAAAAGTATTTTCTGATTTACAGCAGAAAAATTTATTGTCGTGATATACATTATGTGTTTTTAGTGAAATTTGTGACTTTATTAATAAAAAATTATAATAAAATAAATTAATTTATGTTATTCATAGTTGATTAGCTTATCAAATAAATAAAGTCACTAGACAACTCACATGTGAAAGACATTATTAATTCGAATATAATGTAAAAGAGGGGAAAGAGAAAAAGTCAAAGATAAAATCTTTTGCTACTTCCATGGAATTGGCTCTCCCTCAGCCATTAAAGCTAGAGGATAAATCTCTGCCTCTCATACAAAACCGCCATGCACACATATTTAAACCACACCCCACCAACAACTTCTCAAACTCATCCTCCTTGATAAACAATAACATAAAAAAAATAAAATTGAAAAAAATGGCAAAAGTTCAATCTGCACTCCTCATCGCCGCTGTCATTTTCTTAGTCTCCATGCTCGGCGTCTCCGGCGCTGAAAAACCTGCCGCCGGAAAATCTCGCTACAAGGTCACCGGAACAGTTTACTGCGACGTGTGTCGCGCCAAATTCGTCACCAGAGTCGCAGAAAGGATGCCGGGTATTCTTTCTTTCTTTTTTCTTTCCTTTTGTTTTCCGGTGATTTGAATCTGAATTATATTCATGCATGCATGCAGGCGCGAAGGTGAAGCTGGAGTGCCTGAACACCACCAACGAAAAGGTGACGTACAGCTTGGAGGGCGAAACCGACAAGAACGGCATGTACCACCTGGAGGCGGAGGGCGACCACGACGAGGACGAAATCTGCGGCGTGAAGCCGGTGAAAAGCCCGAAAGAAGATTGCAGCGAGGTGATAAAGGACATGTGGGCAAAAGAGTTCACTAGAGTCACCCTCACCGCCAATAACGGCTTGGTTACCGATACCCGTAAAGTAAACCCTATCTTGTTCCTCAAGACCAAGCCCATTGCTGTTTGCGCTGAAGTCTTCAAGGAATTGCATTACATCCCAGGAGAAAACGTCCATCCTTGAACAAAGATCTCAGTTTTACTAGTCGCCTCACAAAAGAAATAATCCAGCATATATGGTTTTTTAGACCATTCTATGTAACACATTATATATAATACTATAAGCTCTTTTTTTTTTTTTTTTTATGTATCTGAATTTGTGTCAGTTCTCTCAAAAAGTATTATATTTTCTCACATTCCGAGGCACACCCCTCTGAGTAATAACACAAATTTACAACAGATGATGTTGTGAGCATATTTACTATGATCTTCTTAAAATAGTATGTGCTCTTTTAGGATTTGATTCTTGTTCTGGAATGCTACTAATTAATTAATGGTATCAGATGCCTTAAAATGGTATTTCTACCTAAAATAATGAGCAACCCACTGTTTTCAATAATATTACGGAGTTTTTCAAATAAAATTATTGATTCTCCATCACCAGAAGCCTGAGGGGTGTTTGGTATGATGGAATTGTAATTAAAATTCTTGCAATTCTGAAGAATTGCATTCCGCAGTATTACCTAAGGAATTGCAATTTGTAATTTCATGTTAAATTACTATTTTACTCTCATTATTATTATTCATTTTTTTCCATTTCAATTCAACCTGTCTATTAAATAGTGTAATTTAAATTCCACTCTATTATTTTCTCACGAAATTACAATTCATTTCCTCTTATTCCCTCCTAATTTGCCTGGATAGAGTTGAGACCAATCTAGTAGTAGTATATGTAGAATTTTATGGTGTCATAAAATTTATTGGATACAATTTTTCTTTTTTGAAAGATTATTTTGTTGAATAAAATAAAATTTAGGACGGCTGCAACTATTGTTCCATTAATGAACACGTTGACGATAGGTTGAATATAGACATGGAAATAACCTAAGCAGCAAGAAGTGTTTTTTTTTTTTTTGTTGAACTTCTTTAATTCTATTTTCTTACTAAATATAGAATAATTGAGCTACAGGACAAAAAAGGAATCAACAAGGTTGACTAGCCGAGATCTTCCTTCTCCTCTTGGCCGGAAGAAGATTACGGAAGCCTCCGGCGCCGGCGACGCCTTGCTCCGCCGCGTACCATTCCTCCACCGCCCCATCCAAGTCAAGATTTTGCAGCAACCCAGAAGCATCAAACAGGCAACCCTCCGACAACCCGTCTATCATCCCTCGGCACGGCGGTTTGTTTTTGCGGCGGCCGGCCCCCACGGGGACGTTCCGGAGAGCTCCGCCGGCCGTCCAGTACCTCTGGCAGCCTTTACAGAAGTGCCTGGGCTGGTTAACATTGTAGTTGTTGAAGTAACAAAACTTGGTCTCCATGCTCTTGCACCTCGGACATGGAATCACCTTGTCGGGCCTCTTCTGATCCGCTGTGCTGCCATGATCGCCGTCACCTTTGACCTCTGATTTCTCCTCCTCGGATTTCTTTTCTTGGACAGTTATTATTGTTGCCCCAAAGAGCTTGATTCCCTGTGCGTTGTGGCTGTCTTCAACCTCTGCCATCATAGAAAGAGAGAGAATTTTAGGCTTAATAGGACTAAGATAAAAGAAGCTAGAATTCTTATGCTTGATGGGAAGGTCTCCAAATCTATATATATATACACACAAGTGTGTGTATGTGTGGGGATATAGATATACGTGTATATGTAAGCACTGAATAAAGTAAAAGTGAAGAGGGGTTGGGGGGTATAAAGGAGAGGAAAAGTTCATGGATGCTAGGAGGCAACAAAAGTTAAAATATAGAAAGAAAATTAAAGATTCATTGGGTGTATGAGCATATATGGAAAGGAAAAGTACTCTTGAGATGACATACTCTCTCCACATAATGTGTATTAAAAAAAAAAAACAATAATGTGTATTATTGATTGGACAAAGGGAAAAAAGTGAATAAAATTTAAAATCAATGATTAATTTATGTTATAAATTAAAGCATAGGATAAAAATATGTATATTAAATTAAATTTATTGACAAATTAAAAAAGAAAACATACTTATAGAGATTAGTATAGGAGAGATATTGAAAATTATTTATAAGTGAGATGTCTATATATATATATATATATATATATATATATATATATATATATATATATATACACACATAATTTAGTCTCTGGTAAAAAAAAAAAAAAAAAAAAAAAACTTAAGACATACACTTATTATTAATTATATTATATTTTTTGTTTTATTTTATTTGTCATATTTACTATTAATTGGTCAAATCTTTTTTTTTTTACTTATTTTTATTAACATTTAAAAAAAATTAAATTTACTTTTGAGTATTTAATAGTATTTTTAATGTAATTTTTAAATATATAAATTTTACATAGTAATTCTAAACTTTCTATTATAAAAAAAAAAAAAATTATGAGCCAACAAAACAGGGCCACTACACTACCAGCCACCACCAAAGTTTGAACCTTAGTCTCTTCTTTTAAATACTGCCTACTAAACCATTGAGCTAAGTTCGTATGGATGAGTATATAATATTCTTAAATAACTAATAGGAGTCAAATATTTTTTGAGAGTGGGGAGCATTGATAAAGATGGAAAAGGAAGAAGATAAAAGCGAAGTCTTTTTGCTTTTACTTGTGTACTTTGTTTAATTTATTAATTACTCCCCAATAAATATAAACTAATCATCTTTGTTTCATACTTATCAGATTGGGATTACTTTCACATCATCTTCATAGTCATTAGCCTTCAATCTTAAGGATGAAGCTCCTACACATATATTTATATTTCTTTTTACCTCTTTCTGGATTTTTCTGTAATAAAACATGAGGTAACAGCAAGAGAATCCCTATCTGATCTGTTCTTCCATCGTTATTTTGTATAACAATAGAAACTCACACTACAAGATAACCTTCATTTCTTAGTTATAGCTCATAAATCACAGAAAAATAAACTGTACTAAAAGGTGCATGATTTTTAGATACAAGAATTATGTTGTATTTACATGGTCATTCCTTTTAGGCTATTGTCATCTAGAATGATATATCCATGCATTCCATACCCAAATTATGAATAATTATTTAAATTCAAACATCTAAAAACATAATAAGTTTTAATAATATAGGTTATATCCCTGATTTATGTCCTTTTTCTGTTAATTATTTTTATACGTTATGCTATAAGAGTTCTACTATATACAATTTTTTGGACAAAAATATCTCTACCATTATAACTTCTGTTATCTTTTTCCCATTATTATTATCTGGACATGGATACACAATATCTTTTTTCTTATATTCTTAAATGGTAATAATGTATGTAGACATTATATATTAGAGTAATATTATTGTTACACAAGTACGTGCCTAACTCTCAATCCTCAGCGGAATGGCATTCTTAACCTGTAATACTTATCATTATTTTTTACAGCGATCAGACTTCTTTTTCATCGACAACTTTTTTAAAATTTTTTTTAATCAAATGATGCATTAGATACCAAAGAAGCAAAATTAATTGGTTATCTTTTGATAACCTATTAAATATGTTAATTGCACAATTTTAGTCGATTTAAAAGTTCAATTGGAGGTTTATTTAGTTCAAGAGGTTAATTGCACCTTGACATATAATTGAAGGGTCTATTTGATTCTTATTCCTATAAAGTAATATATTCTATAATTTTATTATCAGTTTAATTTTTTTGAAATGATACATACATTTTCAATTTAATTTTTTTAAAATAAATATAACATTTACCACAATTCACGTTCGTTAGAAAAAAATTGTTGAAATAATTTTAAAACAAACAACATTTTTTTTTATTAAAGAAATATACAAGTTTTTGAGTCAAATAGCTAGCGGAATTTTATTAAAAAAAAAAAAAAAAAAAAAAAAAAAAAAAAAAAAACAAGAAGAAGAAGAAGAGGTAGAGTAAAGAATCATTGGAGTGGGGTTGTGGATGGAGGAATTGAACTAAAAGATTCGGACAAAACAATTCCTAATATGTAGACTGATCATGTTTAATTTAGATATCTTAATCAAGAAGTTGTTTATAGTTTGACAAAAAGGCAATATCAAATTAAAGAAAGCAAAGCAAGAGGCCAGAAAAAAAGAAAAGAAAAAGATATATACTAGAAAGAAAGCAAACCTTTTTTTTTCACCTAAATCAATGAAAACCACTTGCTTGGAAGTTTTTTTTTTTTTTTTTTTTTTTTTTTTTTTTTTTTTTTTAATGAAAACACCACTTGAAAGTTGTGTGGTTACTTCTACGAGAGAATGACACATATATTACTCTTTTTTAAAAAGATGAATATAGATAAATTATAATAAGTCAAAATCTTATAAAGAAAATTATGTTTTTAGTTCATGAGTTTTATGATAGTATATTTAGCAAAATTTTAAATTTTATAGGGGAAGGTATATAGTAAATGTGGTAATTGTCAATTTGGGCTACGATAATCTTAGAGGCCTATCTAGATTTTGTGTGTGTGCAAGCGTGTGTGATAATGCATTTTTTTTTATAAATTTGAATTCTAAATTTAATAACCCTCCATTATTTTTATTACACTTAGGTGATCCCAAGACCCCGTCCCCTTAGAGCCACTGCATAAGAATTCTCGAATCACGCAATCAACTCACCGGTCAGACCTTAGTCTTCATGTGGGCAAAGGATCCAATCCACACCTTTCATCATTTTGGGCCTTTTTATCATTCATGTTTCTAGTGGGACTCGAACCCCAACACTACTGCCTCCCATCATAACTTCAAGTCATACGATGAACCACGTACACTCTAAGTTGATGACGCTTATTTTGTACTATATTTTACCACATTCTTAACCCCTTTTTGTGCACATTTCAATATGTTTTATTTGGTTTCCGAACTAAAAGATGCATTTTATGTTCAGTTACACCCAAATACACTTTTGAGAGAGGAAAATGAAAAAGGAAACAAAAGTTGATCAAAATGGAGCAAACCCGCATGGAAAACAACTCACATAAGCGAAACCCGGAAATATGTGCAAAAGATTAAAGATTGAAGATAGAATTCATAGCGTGGAGTCAAAGCCATGCACAGGTGGTGGCACGCCTGTGCATAAACCACTAGCACGCTTTCCTTCTGCAAAGGCACTCTGTGCCTGTGCCTTGCCAGTGCACCCGCACTAGCAGTGGCATACCCGTGTGGGGTCAATGCGCCAAAACTCTGGAATTCTCCTATAAATAGCTAGATCTTTTTTCCTGTTTTGGGTAGAGAAACAACCCTCAGTAAATAGTAGCAATAGGAAATTTTCCAGAATAGGTTATCTCTTCTTTTCCTTATTATTTTATTGCTTTATCAAATTATATTTTGTGATTCTTAGCTTAGATTACTTTCTTCTTGTGTTTATTGTTTTTATTTTGTGAATATTTACGATGAAGTGATAAGTCTATCGATTGGTTCTCTCAACAATACAGATATATGAGGAATATGAGTCCTAAACTATGCCTATACATCAGGCTAGCTATTAGTTGTAGACTAAATCATATACAACAGTTACAATAATAACACAATAATAATAATAATAATAATAATAATAATAACAATATTACTAACATTTACTTTGTTGAAAAATTATTTCTTTCTTTATTTCTTTAATATTGTTGGATGATGTTATTCATGAATGTTCTTGTGTTTTACCTATTTATTATGAGTGAGTAATGTAGTATAAGGGTTGGATAGTGGTCTATATTGTGTTTGATGCATATTGCATATTGCATAAGGGTTTGAGACCCAACTTACAAGGCGTTTGGTTGGAGGGGGGAATTATGTGGGAAAGGAATTGTAATTCCATGGGAGTTGAATTACTGGGAATAAAGTGGGAATTTAAATTCCAGTGTTTGGTTGATAGGAATAAAATTACTGGGAATTTCAATTCTAATGTTTGGTATACATGGGAATTGAAAGGGAATAAGTAGTATAAAGTCAAAAATGTCCATTATTGTTGTTAGACATTAATTTTAGGTTAAAAAATGAAGGGGTAATTTTGACTCATCGCTATCTTTTTTTGCCAGGAATTAAAATACCAGGGGGGACATGGGATTTTAATTCCATGAAAATGGGGGAATTGCAATTCCATGGAATTGCAATTCCCTCCAACCAAACTACGGAATTTAATGGCCTTTGGAATTAGGTGAAAATTAAGTGGGAAGGGAATTTAAAATCCCTCCAACCAAACGCCCTGTTAGAGTTCTTGTTCTTGTGTTGATGGGTTTGTGTACAACATTGTCAATACTTGTCTAGTATGAGATTTTGGCAATCATTCTAGCAAGGAGTCCACTGGGTAACATACCCCTAGACTCATCTCTCAATCGCCAATTTCTCTTAGACCACATTTCACGGCCTCCAAGTTCACTTACGAGAGTAGGGAATGTTGAATGTCAAGACTGTTTGTGCTTATTGAGAGAGATTGGTAGCTTTACGAGAGTGGGACAACCTTCGTATTTCGATTCAGTTTAACATTGGATCACGAGGATGGCGTGTTAATACACCGGATTGGTGTTGGCAGTCTTTGAACCTGAAGTAAAGTCTCTGAACCCTCAACCCTTTGTTCTGGCGGCTTTAGACCAATATATACCCATTCTAGTACCTACTTTTAATTTCTTGCCTTTATTTCTTTACTTTTATCTCGTTGCTTACTCTGCCAC